AGAGAAGATGCTGGCACCTACACTTACTAAACCGAAACTGCGTGTTGCCCAGAGGAGCCACCAGTCCTTGTTGACTGAGGCCCCACTGAACCCCAAGGCTAACAGGGAAAAGATGACTCAGGTTCGTACATTAGGTACCAGATATTAAACAATGTTTTTATAGTAGCACTATAGAGCTATTAAGTTATGAAGCTGTAAAATAATGGCTATGGATCATATTAGATGTACTATAAATTATTGTATGCATTTTATATTTATCTTTCTATACTTCTATATATATTTATATTTTATATATTATATATATATTTATTTATATTTTATATATATATATTTGATGTATCTATTAACGACAATCGTTGTTTTTATTTTTGCAGATCAATGTTTTGAGACTTCAACCACCGCCAGGACATGTACGTCGCCATCCAGGCTGTCACTGTACTCTGTACGCTTCCGCCGTACCACCGGGTATCGTGCTGGACCTCTGGTGATGTGTCAGCCCACACGGCTCGCCATGCTACGGGGTTACGCTGCTGCGCCATGGCCATTATCCGTTTGGAACTTGGCTGCGCGCGATTGACGGCTACTGATCAAGATCCTGACCGAGCGTGGCTACAGACTTCGTCACCACCGCTTCCCTGTCCACCTTCCAGCAGATGTGGATCAGCAAGCAGGAGTACGACGAGTCTGGCCCAGCGATTGTGCACCGCAAGTGCTTCTAAGCGCTGTCGCCATCGTCATCATTGCTACAATTTCCATCGATACTCTCGCTCCGCCGTGTTGAGCTTTGCTACGCTGTCACACAGCAAGCTTAGAGCGCCATGTTGGCATCGCCGCCATGTTTGCATCCAAACGTGAGATAATCACGGACTCCATGGTTGCTCGCAGGTTGACCGAGACCTCTCACCTGTATATACAGCCTATATTGACAAAATGGGAAAGAATGCGTGTAATCTAGCGTAACGTAAATTCAGCTTTCATCGAAATTAGATTAGTGTAATAGAATCTCGCGTGTAATTAGTACTAATTACTCTGCGTGTATGCTCAGTTAAGATTATTATTATAAAAATGCGTAAGATTATATTGGAAAAGAAAAACCTGGTGTTTTTCTGAGTGTTTAAAAATAAAGCAAATATGTTTTATACGTTACTCGTTGTTGGTATATTTCAATAAATTCCTATTTTCATATCATAATTCACATCGAAACTCACCTACACACTTTAAACTCCAATTTAATTAGGGTCAAAATTGTGTGACCTAACTGAGTATTATCAAAAGTAATCTCTTTCGCGGTTTCAAGAAATAATCCACAGAACAAATATAATAATGAATAGGATACGATTAGGCTTAACGTATCATTTCGTTTAATTTTGTTACATTTGTTTTAGTTTTTTTAAATATTAATTAGGCATATTTCTACAAAATACATAGTGGGCTGCTTCACCCCCACTCTGTAACCCAGGAGGCTACGGCCCTATTTCGTAGCAAACAATTCATGAATACATGGTCGCTATCTTAATTGAATAATATCAACAAAGTAAAATTTCCTTTACAATTTCCTTACACTTCCTTTAGGAGCTACTTGGCATGCACTAACAGTCTTAGCGTGCAGACCATAGACAGAATTTCGAAATATTCGCTAATCTAGTAGACGGTCCGGGTTAATGCATGGCCAGTATCATCCAAAATGACGATTAATTTGTTGAAATTATATTTTTATAGTTGAGTGGTTAGCCGATAGCAGATTGCTATAGTAAATGTCCATCACAAAAACTCATTTCATAATTTAAACGAAAACCTAGCTTCTTGGGTATCCGCGACAGATTAATGCTTGATAAGGTATCTTTACCGTATGTACATGCATGTTTAAGGTCAACGAATGCTCGTTTTCTCGGTAGATATTGGATATACGCGGACACGTATCTGACCGTATACTACACTAACGAATATTCCGGAATTTTATCTATTTTCTACAAGCTAAGATTTGGACTCGCGCACGCACATGTACAGTATATGCCGAAAGATACATTATAAAAAAAGAGAGCGGATATCCGAGTGCAGTTTGCAATGACATATGTCTATCGCAAGATCCTATTTCATAAATTAAAAGAAGAAGAGCAGCTATAGTGTATGCGACAAGTTCTGGATATACAGTCTCTATCGCACGTACACATATAACATCAACGAATATGAATAATATGGTAGATATTGGACACATACGAACGCGGATCTGACCGGTTGTCACATGCGAATATTCTGGAATATCCGGAGATAATATCCGAATACCCGGAGAGAATATCCGGAATCTTCTGTAAGCTAGGATTTGTATTTACGCATGCGTAGAATATGCCGATAGGATGTGTATTTCGTTGAAATTATAGTTAGCAGATACAATAGAAAGAAGATAACCGAAAGCAATTTGGTACGAAGAATGCCAATAACTAGATCTCACCAAATAAATGAAATTAAATGAAAAGAAGCGCTAGCTTATAGGGTATCTAGCTCCGTCATATAAATTCTGGACAGAAAGTCTCCATTGCATGCACATAATAGGCCTACTGTCAACGACATGTTCGTCTTTTTCGGCAGATATCGGGCTATAGTGCAGCAACGACGGATTAATTATTTATATAATCTTCTTATACTTTAATTGTATAATCTTAATCAAATGTAATTCTTTTCGGCGTTTAATGCGAGCATTTTGGAATTTTACGCGCGTTGACGTTATAATAATTATATATATATATATATATAAATACATATATTTTTTTTACGATTAATGTACATTTCCTCGCAAAGCCAAGACCGCTAATTATTTTTCACATTTCATGAATACTACTCCAATGGAGTCTTACTCTCGTGCTCTGACATTTGGCGTATGAACCCAGCACTAAAAGGGTTCACGCATGCGCACGAGTCTCCGCGGTCATATACAGTTAAACCTGACGAAGTATTCCGAGTGAAGTCTCTCATACCATACTGGAACTGTTCTAATTTTATTCATTTATTGGTTAACCCACATGATACTCGGTTACACGATTCAAGTAAGAGAAAGCCGATTTAGTCTTGATAGAGAAGAGAGGGTAAAATATACATGCGATGAAGTTAGTTCTCAACGTGTTTTGCAATTTTGGTCAGAATCAGGATCAATCGGTTGAACTGTGTGGACCCCATGCAGCCACGGCCCCCGACCACTAGAGCTATTTCAGGCGCATATATAATCTATACTGTAATCTATCTTTGTAGTTTCTGACAAGTTCCAGCAGTACTCGTACCCTGCTGAACAAATATTTGTTGTTAGTTACCTTTCGTTTTTCATTTAATTTTCGATCAACGTGGCGAATAATTTTCGATCAGTTTTGGGAGAATAATTTATACTTTATATACTTTAATATATATGATGAAAATAAAGGTATGATCTGGTAAACTAAAAAAGCAGAATGAAACAAATTTAACTATATCTCTCTTTCTCTCTCGCGCGCGCTCTCTCTCTCTCTCCCTCTCTTCTTCAAAAAGCCCCGGGGGTTTATTTTTTTCTGTCTCGCGGCTCTTCTCTCTCTCTCTCGTCCTCTCTCTCTCTCTCTCACTCTTTATGCAGCGTTCGTCTCTTCCTCTCTCTCTCTCTCTCTCTCTCTCTCTCTCTCTCTCTTTCTCTTTCTCTCTCTCGCTCTCTCTCTTTCTCTCTCTCGCTCCCTCTCCTTCTCTCACGCGCTTCTCTCGCTCTCTCTCTTTATCTCTTTCTCTCTCTCTCTCATTGTATCTCCATGTTTATTGTTGCACCCTTCCTGTTCTCTCCCGCGTACCCGGCGTACGTGTGTTTGTACGTGCCCGTGCGTACATGCGCGTAAGAATATATGTAGGGTGACCTTTTTAAGAACAACACATGTATTGACATTCACAATAAAATAAAGACTTATTCATCCAAACAAAATATAGACAAACTGACCAAGGTCAGGGATGATGCATTGGCGTTTTGTAGGTTGCCACTAGTCTTATCTTGTACTCCCCACTACCGGGGAATACCAGACCCGTATATATATATATATATGTACGTTGTGGTACAGCATCTTGAGTATAAGCAAACTATTTAGCAGCGCGATGGGGTGAGATGCTGGGGGATATTTATAGGTCGCGCGTTGCCCGAGTGTGTCAAATGTTATTATTATTATTATTATTATTGTTATTCTCACTTATAATTAATCACACGCCTCTTCTCTCCAATCATATATACATATATACACGCAGATGCGTGATCATTTACGTATCCTGTTTATATAGACACCTCTGTTTTCTTCAACCGCTACAGCGTTATATGTCGAATTTAAAACGCGAAAGCTATGAAGAGCGACTAAATACGGTAGCAATTCTGTAACTGTGGAGGCACATCGCTGCTGTATTTTTACTAGCGGCTCGTGCGACTAGCGCCACGCACGCCACCTTCTCTTCAGCACCCTATATGGTGCTCGTGGCACGCTCCTGCCGGCGCATGCCCCACCAGCCGCTATATATACCACACGACGACGAAGCTGCCTCAGTTCAGTGAGAAACTTCACGTGCTCCCATCTCAGTTGTAACTTCTGGTAAGTACCGTACCGTAGCGCGTGTATGTGTGTGTCTGCGTGCATGCATCTACACACGGAATATCTCGCGTGAATAGAATTCGTTTGCTCGACAACGTAGTCTCGTCTTCTAGAGCAGTTTACTAGTGTTTCGAAGTGGATACGGCTTACTGCATGCTTACTGTAACTTGTAAGTGATTGCGTCGGTGTTTTGCCTGTCGGCTGAAAGCACATCATCTAATCTACGCTGTAAAGGGTTGCTGCTACGGGCAGACAACATGGCGTCATATCGTGGATTACATATACCAGGACTGAATAATAATAGTAGAATCTATATTTTCTAGATTTTTATAATAGATCTATTATTATTCACTCCTGATAATACTATCCACCGGACAGCAAAAGTTGCAAGCTCTAGCTTTTCGAATTCAGTGCTATAGATGCGCGTAGATGCAGCTTCGTACTGCGGCTAAACTGATCACTAGCGAGATGATGTGCTTTAGACAGGCGTTTCCTATGTCTCGAAGAGGCCGCAAGCTTACGTAATTGGTGGCATTGGCGTCGTATGCGTTACACTCGTAAGCTAGGCACCGTGTGCTCTGCTGCCACGAATAGCTCCAGGCGTATCGTGTTACGTTCACTATATAACTATCGGATTTATTCATCGCCAGTTGCCGACCGACTAGGCATATATCACATTTTATTTGTTTACAAATATTATATATATATATATATCAGGAGTAGATAATAGGGCGTCTATTATCTACTCCTGATATATATATATATATATTTATTTATTTATTTATACGCTTTTTACTTATATACTGTTGCTTCAAACTCACAGAGGCAACTTTATGTAGTAGGCGACTGTGATTTTGTCAGCTAATTTAGCGTAACTTTTCGTACTGTCAACATTCACGCGTTCGCTAACCATGAAGTTTGTTTCGTACTCCGGTTTCATCCACTCGATATGTTTATTCGTTATTAGTTTCCTGCCCAACCAGCAAATATGTGCGACGACGATGATGTAGCAGCTCTTGTCGTGGACAATGGCTCCGGAATGTGCAAGGCCGGTTTCGCCGGTGACGACGCCCCACGTGCCGTCTTCCCCTCCATCGTCGGAAGACCACGTCACCAGGTATGCAGGCTTTTATTTATTCATGATTGAATTCCCGTAATTCACCGAGTGCGCACGATTTTATAATATCGTAGTTTTTCTAGTTTACGTGTTTAAGTGATAAATTTTAAAAATCAACTTGGATAATAATTGAGAATTTCTGCATGTCTTCGCGCAGGATGGCCTATTGCTGTGGCGAGTCTAACATCTTCAACTACTATT